GGCGGCGCCGCTGCCATCTTAGCCCTAGGAGAGGCGGGAGGGAGGCTGGGGTGGGGGCGCGCGGTCCTGCGCCTGCTCCGCACCCCCCCCAATCCTGCTGGCAGGTGTGACATCACACCTCGGAAAGCTCCCGCGACGCGGGGCCGCCCTGTTCGGCGGAGGTGGGGGCAGGGGATGGATGAGGTCCTGGCTCTCTCCTCCGAGGTACACAGCTCTGGCCCTTATGGCCTTTGTGGCGGCCCGGCCCCCCGGCGGGGGTCAACTGGGTCTGTACCCAGAGGCAGGTGCTTCCAGTTAGGGCCTGTCACTGCTTACCAGTAGTCCTGTGGGATGTGTGGATAGCTTGGGAAAACTGGGCTGAGGGGTGGTCCTAAGAGCTGGCAGAAACCCAGGCGTGGGATTGTGTGGAATGGGGGTGGTGGTCCGGACAGGCTAAGGGCCAAGGATGGGTGTCTGGGAGGCAGGCCAGCAACAACACTGTGTGTGTGTGTACACTTGCCAAGAGTCTACCTCTGGGTGAGTGAGAGGGTGGCATGAAGTGTCAGCGTTGAGGGGGGAATTGGGTTTTTGTCCTTAGAAGGGAGTCTTTTAGTTCAGGCCTGAATCAATGAATGAAGGAGCGAATGACTTACCTTTCCTGAGGCCCAAAATTGGGAGTGCTCCTCTCAGTAAAGAGAAGGGGCCTTCCAGGTTCTCATAGCACCCTCCTTTTGAAGTTGGGTCTTGATGGTCATAGGGTGTTGAATTAAGTGAAAATTGGCCTATCTGGGAGATAGGCACATGGGCCAGGCCCGGGAATGTGGAACCCAGGAAGGTTAGTCCTAGGCCTGCTGCAACCCTGTAGACTGGTCTGACCTGGTCTCCTCTGGGCCTTCTTGGGTAGGTCTGGTTTTTGGTTTTGACGACTCCGCCCTGCCCCACCCTACCTGGTGGACTGGGGAGGCTCACTACGCAAGTACAGGGAGGGTTTGAACTCCAAACAGTCTCTGCTGACTGTAAACACGTGTGGGGTAGGGGCCTGGGGGACTCTGCTCTCTTGACGCCTCTACCTGGGCCTGTCTGCCAGTCATGAGTTGCTGAGTGAGCCCTGCCCTGCCCTGCCCTTCCCATCACGTGCAAGTAAGGGGTCATTTGTGGTGGGAGAAGTGGTCTGGACTTCCCCTTCCCTCCCAGCCAACGCCTGCTCTTTCCACATCTTGGGGGCTGCCTACTCTCCAGCACTTCTGAACAGGCTGCTGTGACCCGCGTCCCCCCAGCCTTTTCTGCTCTTTGCCTCCAGAATGCCTTCAGAAATTCTACTTTGGCTGGCCACCTGTGGGTTACGTGGGGCTGTCATTTGTTCATTCAGCAAATCTTGATTGAGCTCCTACTATGTGCCAGGCACAGGGGGAACATCAGTGAACAACAGGATGTTCCTGCCCCAGAATTCCTTGAGTTCTGGCTGTCATTGTTCCTGAAACCCTGAGTTCCCCCCCCCAGCCCTTTTTCTGTACCCAGCTACTGGCCTGCCTCCAGTCACCAGTACATCTCTTCCTCTCCTAGAACTTAACCTGATACTTTCAGATGGAGCTTGACCCAAAGCAGGTCTCTGGAAGTTACTGAGAACCAGTATCAGTGGTCTGGGGCTCTTTTTTGGTTGCCCCAGGCCCCTGAGGATTGGTGCTGCCTGCTCCTCCAGGGCCCAGTCTCCCTTCCTGCTTCCCCTTTTTTGTTGTGACAAAAGTCCTGCCGATTCTTTCTTCATCAAGTCTTCCACAGGCTGTCTTGTTGCCCCTTTTCCGTAATCTCTTTGACTTCCTCCCTGCTGGCAGGCACCCTGCCTTTGGTGCTTTGTTCCTGGAACTGCCTCTTGATTGCACTCTTTTCTGTCCTCTGCTCGATCTGGGACCTTGTCGGGCTTGGTCTTCAGAGCTAGCATCCAGGGCCTTTGTGGACACCTGCTGCTGCTGCCCAGGCCAGGCTGCTTTTCCCTTGTGGTCGGCCCTTTTTCATCCCTTTGTTGTTCTTGTTGCCTCCCCACCCCAGCCACACGATCTTCCTGCCACCTCCTGGAGAAGGGCCCAGCTCACTTGCCACGTCTGGCCATGTCCTACCATCTGGGATGCTGACTTCCCAGTAATCCGTTCTCACTCAGTTCCACACATCATCTGTGCTCTCCTGCTTGAGTAACAGGCCATGGCGCTGGCCCCTTGCGTGCATGTGACACCGCATGATGTGGTGCCTGGCCTGCAGTAGGAGCCCCCAAAATGCACTGTGACCAGGAGAGTTCCGGAAAACTTGAAGACCAGCCCCGAGCCGTGGGTTGATGGTGCTGAGTGCCTTTGGGACCGAGTGGCGGAGGTAGTACAGGTCCCTCTGCTCCCACCCCTACCTCTTTCCTCTTTCCAGTAGCTCCCAATCTGGTGCCACATTCGTGCATGTCTCCATTCATGTTGTCTGCAATCCTTTTTGCTCATTCACACCTCTACCCAAGGTCATTTTCTCTATGGACCCCTTCCCCAGACTTCCCCACCGGCCTCCCCACTCTTCTAGAACATGTTGCTGTGCTTGGACGTGCCATATATGTCCTCACCAGGCTTGGGGCCCTGGGAAGCTAGAGCTCCTTGGACCTCCTCACTGCTTGGTGATGAGCATAGAGTAGTCATTTTTTTCCTGTGGCCCAAGCAGGTGAATAAAACGTGCTGAAAAATGGTCATCCTCGTCTTTTCCACCTGTGAGTCCTGTTAATCTCTGCTCACGCAGTGCAGTTGGATCCTGGAGGGCAGGAGTCAGAAGAGCCCCCTGGGCCCCCTGTGGCTCTGTTCTGTACAAAAGTTACTCTAGACTTTGAGGTCAGGAGAAGGGAACTTTCAGGAAGGCTGCACCCCCTATCTAGCAAGAGGGAGGAGGAATAGCATCAGAGGAGACAGGCCACGCTAGAGTTTTCCCCCCACCCCGGTTATAAGAGGCCTTAGGGAATCTAGGCTTCTGTGAGCTCAAGGCCTCTGTGCATGCAGGGGTGCTTCTGGGAGGTCTGCCTGGGTGATGGCTCCCTGTGCCCTGTCCTCTCCTGGCTCGCCCTTTTTATGGTATTTAGAGAGTATTCTTTCCACACTTGAGGATGCACTCAGCCTGTTGACGACAGATGCTAGCCCTCCTGGAGGGCTGGGCGCAGTGGGGAGTTGGGAAACCTCTGGCCCAAGATAGGACTTGTCGGGCCCTGTGTGCGGTGAGGATCTTCCAACATGTTGTCCCTGGGTGGAGCCCCAAGGCAGACAGGCTGATCCTGGCCTGACATTTGGGCTGCTGAGATGCAGTCACCTGCTGCTTTGCCAGGCCATTTCTGACCTGAATGTCCAGGACTCCAGGTGGTTAAAAAAAAAAAAAAGCGTCCGGATACTTCAGCAAGGCTTGAGCGGCCCAGTTGCCCTTTTGTCTATGTGACTGGGCTGCTGGACCTGTCGTAACTCCACTTGTAGGCTGCGGGCAGCTACACGGAGGCTCCCTGGTGGGTGGGGCCGACCTTTCTCAGCAGAGCCGAAGCCCAAATAGGCCGGGCAGCCACAAGGGGCTCTGGTGGAGAAAGGGCTACCTGGGCTCATTGCGTGCCTGGCTGGGGCTGTTGCCCCTGAGGGCCACCTGGCTGGGTGCCAGCTTCATGTCCCCTCTGTGATAACTTAGGGGTCCCTCAACTGTGCTTGACCTACTCCTGGGTCCTGGCCCTGGCTGCTCTGAGCTCACCTGGCTTCCCCCTGCCCTCCCCACAGCCCTGGGTGCCGCCTATGGTACAGCCAAGAGTGGCACCGGCATCGCGGCCATGTCCGTCATGCGGCCAGAACTGATCATGAAGTCCATCATCCCAGTGGTCATGGCTGGTATCATCGCCATCTATGGGCTGGTGGTGGCAGTCCTCATCGCTAATTCCCTCAATGATGGCATCAGCCTCTACAGGTGAGTGCTGGGTCCCTCCTGTCTGTCCTTGCCCTGCCTGGGATCAGGCCACTGCACAGGGCAGGGAGGGCCGGGGATGGGGTGTTGGGCGGGCGGCTTCCTCCCCAGCAGGTGGCTAACATCTCTCCTGTGTCCTCTCTCCCCCAGGAGTTTCCTCCAGTTGGGTGCTGGCCTGAGTGTGGGCCTGAGCGGGCTGGCGGCTGGCTTTGCCATTGGCATCGTGGGGGACGCTGGTGTGCGTGGCACCGCCCAGCAGCCCCGGCTATTCGTGGGCATGATCCTGATCCTCATCTTCGCCGAGGTGCTCGGCCTCTACGGTCTCATTGTTGCCCTCATCCTCTCCACAAAGTAGCCCCTCTCCGAGCGCACCAGCCACAGAATATGATGTAAAGACCATCCCCTCATTCCAAAATGAACAGCCTGACACACATGCACGGGGCAGCCGCCCCCCCAGTAGTTGGTCTTGTAAATGCGCAGTGTCCTAGTGCCCATCGTCTGTTACCCCGGCCTTGCCCCTGCCCGCCCCGTGCCGTGGACATCTGGGCCCACTCATTACCCATCCAGGCCCCCGACCAGTGAGGATGCAGGCCTCTGCTGCCCCTACTCACCTGCCCTAGAGTGCTCTGTGTATAAGAATGAATTAGCGTTGTCATTTTCTCTTCACTGGATGTTTATTATTTATAAAGATTTGATCTGTTCATACGTCTGTGGAGCAGCCCTTCGTCTCCCAAGTATATAGTAATCTTAGGTAGTGTTGCGTTGCGGGGTTACCGTTTGCTCTGAGACTCGGATGGAACCACCCTCCTCCAGCCCCGCCTGCCCGGGGCCGCGGGGCCAGTGCGCTGGGCCTTCCAGGCCCTGAGCCGAGCCGTGTCCAATAAAGTTCTCGGTTGTGACTGGACGCCTGTGTGGACCGCTTGTGTGGGCCCGGGCGGGGGCGGGGGCGAGGGCGGGCACAAGTAGGGGCCGCGCCGTCAGGACGACCGAGGGGCGCGCCGGTCACGTGGGCGGGCGGGTCACGTGGACGTATCGTCACGTGGCACGCCTCAGTCAGCTGAGGGTCACGTGGGCGCGGCGCAGCTCCGGGGCCCGCAGTCGGCCGGGTACGCGGGGAGCGGGGTTCGGCCGTGGGGCTCCGGGCAAGTGCCCGCTCGGGTGGCTCACGATGCGCGGCGGGCAGGACGAGGCGCGGGCCCGGGTGCTCCAGTTCACCAACTGCCGCATCCTGCGAGGCCGGGCGCTGCTCAGGTGTGGGGTGCGGGGCCGAGCGCTGCTCAGGTGGGGCCCGGGGCCGGGTGGGGTGCGGGGCCGGGAGCTGCTCAGAGGTGCGGCGCGGGGTGCGCGGCCGGGCGCGGCTCGGGTGGGACCCGGGGCCGCGTGGGGCGCGGGGCCGGAAGCTGCTCGGGTGGGACGCAGCGTGCGTGCGGGATAGGCGATCTTAGCCCCCGCCCGGCTCTGGCCGCAGGGAGGATTTGTGGGTGCGTGAAGGCCGCATTCTGGACCCGGAGAAGCTGTTTTTTGAGGAGCGACGAGTGGCGGATGAGCAGCGGGACTGCGGGGGCTGCATCCTGGCGCCCGGCTTCATCGACGTGCAGATCAACGGTGCGGCCTAGGGCTCGGGGTGGGGACCCAGAGAAGGTGGTCTGGGCACCGTGCGACCTTCTTCTCTGGCTGTAGGTGGATTTGGCGTTGACTTCTCTCAGGCCACGGAGGACGTGGGTTCGGGGGTCGCCCTGGTGGCCCGGAGGATCTTGTCGCACGGAGTCACCTCCTTCTGCCCCACCTTGGTCACCTCACCACCGGAGGTTTATCACAAGGTGAGGTCAGGCTCCCGGTCTCAAGGAAAGGGGGCTCCAGAAGCAGCAGTACTTTATTTTTCAAATCTGTGCTCCCACAGACATCTCTTAGCCCTAGCATCTGGCTTTACCTGCTGGCCTTCTTCCATATGGGGCTGGGGCCCTGCCCCTAGGCTTTCTCATTCGGGTGTTCCCCCCCAGCGGGAGAGTCTCCCTGCCTCTGCAGCTGTCCCATAGGCCTTCACTGCTGTCGCCTCAGCGTCTTCCCGGCTACACGTCCTTTCTGCGCTGCCCTCTGGCCGGCTCCAGGCTCCAGAAACCGGTTCCTGGGACTTCGTGATTGCCACATCCATAGCTGCTCGCAGGCTCATCCCCCCTAACCTGTCTGTGCTCTGTGACTCCCGTGAGTGTGCTTTCCAGAAAGAAGCTCCACTGTGCGCCCTGCCGCCCCAGTCCGTCCTCCCCAGTCCGTCCTCCCGTGCTGCTCTCATCTACCCCCACACCTCCCACTTCTTCCTCCTGTTTATCTGCCCATTTTCCTTTATTTTCCACGGGGATTCTCTGGTTTTATTCTTTACCTCGTTTTATTGTTGGGTTTTCTGCTCTCTGTGGGCACGGTGTTCTTTCTTCCTGAACTGTTGGAGAGTAGGCTGTGTTCCTCGTGTCTCTGGACTGCTTGATGCCTAACGAGTTTTGAAAAGCGTGGCTGTTCCATTACCCAAGTTGAGTTTAGGAGGGTAGCAGTTAGGTTGTAATCCTTCATCTTTGTTCCGGGGTGGTGGTTTTCTCCAGCACAGGTTCTTTACTGCAATGATGGATCACATCACCTGTCCAGGAGTCCCTCCTGGGTGTGTGGACACAGAGTCCAAGCTGGGTGTTGGGGGAGGTCGGGTGTGGGCTTTGGGTTTGGTCTAGGCCCCTTAACTTCATCTGTCAGCTGGGGGACTCGAGATAGCCATTAGTTGTTTTTGGGTCTTTTGTCTTTTCAAGTCTAAATTGAGCATGATGACCCTGTCCATGTCTTGGGGTTAGGGTACTCAGCACTGTGTGTGGTCTGTGTTAAGCACTTGGCAAACTGTCAACTGTGGACGTGTTTTGGGGAAATTTCCCCAGGTCTCCCATCACAGAGTCAGATGTTAAAAACTAAGCTCTCTTTGCTGCTGGAAACCAGCACCTGGTTCTGTGTTTTCCCTCCTGGTCATCCGTCCATGCTTGGAACCTAGGAACATGCCCACTTTATTGTTTCTGTGTTCTTTGTCCTCCCCCTTCCTGGGCCCCACCAGTGAGGCTTAGTGACTGTTCCTTAGTCTCCCAAGTGCTCTCCCTGCTCTGAGTCCTGCTATAGGGGCCTTCCCAAGGTACAGGGCTCAGCGCCTCACTCACCCCCACCCCTTCCCTTTTATCCTCAGGGTAAACCCCAGCCTTCTGAGCATATTTTCCCTAAGTGCCTGAGCCTTGGTCCTTTCCCTAGGCACATTTCAGCCATTCTAGGCTGTTCTCTCTCCTGCCTCCAAGCCGTCTGCCTGGAAGGCCTTTGCCTTGTTCTATCTGTTGCCTCCTCTTTGGCTCTGCTGTGTGGCCATACACCGGCCATGCCTTTAACAGCCCATCTGACCATTGCCACACAGATGGTGAGGTCTTTTTATTTAGAACAGGGGGTTTCCGGACACGGGACTTCTAGCTTGTGTCGTCTTGCTAGAATGTGTTATCCATCATGAACACCTGCAGGATGAAGGCCTTGGGCAGCAGAAAGTAGTCGTGGAGGGCGGTGAATGTGAAAATTTGATTCCGGCGTCATCGAGGAGACTACAGGACGGTTCACTGGGATATCTTCCCACTTCCACCTACCCATCTTCTTCCAGGACTGCCTCACACTGCGCGGAACTGTATTGCTTTTTTTTTTTTTTTTTTTTTTTAAAGATTTTATTTATTTATTTGAGAGAGAGAATGAGATAGAGCATGAGAGGGGGGAGGGTCAGAGGGAGAAGCAGACTCCCTGCCGAGCAGGGAGCCCGATGCGGGACTCGATCCCGGGACTCCAGGATCATGACCTGAGCCGAAGGCAGTCGCATAAACAACTGAGCCACCCAGGCGCCCTCGAACTGTATTGCTTCTTTGTCAGAGTTACCCAGATCCTTTGTCGTTGCGTTCTGGTCCACTAAGACCACCTGATCCTTTTCTGAGGTCTTCTCTAGCCTTACACTTTGATAGTCTTCCAGGAGAAAGATTTGATTGCATTGTTCTCGGCTTCAAGTCCATCATCTGCTTCGCCAAGATCTAGTACCTCCTCAGGCGGCAGGCCGACCTTTATTTCTGGTCCCACACACCCTCTATCCTTTGACCTTACCCTGTGCTTTCCTGCCTGAAACATGCCTCATTTTCTCTACCTCCATGCTGTCATTTATGCTGTTCTCCCCATTTAGCATTCTCTAGCCTTTTTTTTTTTTTTTAAGGTTTTACTTATTTGACAGAGACACAGTGAGAGAGGGAACACAAGCAGGGAGAGTGGGAGAAGGAGAAGCAGGCCCCCCGTGGAGCAGGGAGCCCGATATGGGGCTCGATCCCAGGACCCTGGGATCATGACCTGAGCCGAAGGCAGACGCTTAACGACTGAGCCACCGAGGTGCCCCCGTGTTCTCTAGCTTTTCCTTGTAAAACTCTCTTTTGTTTTGAAGTGTGAAGTAAACCCTGAGTATGTCATTTGAACTTCGAGTTCTGAATCTGAGACTTGGAGGGAGGTTACAGGAGTGAGAGTGGTGTATGTGAGCCCAGGTGGGGAGAACAGCCAGCAACGGGCATAGCATTGAGCGGGTCCCCTCTCCCTGTGTGTCATTCCCAGGGGAGACCCTGTGCAGAACGCCCTAGAATGTGCCACACGGTGCCTTCCCTGCAAAGACAGGAGTCTAAGTCTTCACCCACAGTCCCACCCACCCCTTGGGTTGAGGTATTCCCCACCCCCCTCATCTCACAAGAACCTTGTGTCTCGTGCTGAGCTCCCTCGGAAGACTTTGGAGAAACCTGACACTCATCACAACAGGGTCTCCTGGTGGAAATGTGGGCAACAGACTCGTGCTGTCCTTTGTACAGATGGGCGGGCTGAAGGCAAGGGGTCTAGGGGATGTGTTCCAGAGCTGCCCAGCCTCTGACACGCATGCCCACCCGTTTCAGGGGGAGAAATCTGTTCTAGAAAATCTCAACAGTTATCTTATCTTCTTTTTTTTTTTTTTTTTTTTAATCTTTAGTGAACTTATACCTTTCCATGGCTTGTTAGGAAAGCCCGCAGCCCTTTGCCCCCACAGGCTCCCATCTAGAGACAGTCCCTTTCAGCTCGGCTGATTCTTGGAGTTTGCTCTCCTCTCTCTGAGTACGTGCTGGTACTCCTTTTTCACTTCTCAGTTTAGGGTCGTGTATGTGTGTGTCTGCTTCCCAGCTGAGGAGCAGAGGATGCACCCGTCCTCCCCATATAGCCGCCTGCAGTCTTGGGGAGATCAGTCGGGAGGACTGGGTGAAGGGAATTCCGTGTGGTCCCATTTTCTTACCTGACTGTTGTGTTTTCCTTGGAATTCCTGCTCTTTGCTCCATTCCCTTATCTCGTGACTCAACTTCAGGCTTCCTGCCAGTGGCTCACTCTTCTTTCGGGACGTCTGGATGCGCCAGGCGCTCGCTCCATCAGCGTCGCCTTCCTGCGGCAGCTTCTGGGACCTGTTTCCCAGCACCAGCTGCTGGCCTCCTTGGGCCGAGCTGTCCTGGCAGCTCCCTTCCCCTCACCTGGAGGGGGGGGTCCCCTCGCGTCTTTCTGCTGGGCCTCTGTCCGCCATTCCGGGTCTTCCTCTTTGCTGGTTTATGCCTTCACTTTGGAGCACATTTACCGGCTTCCGCTAGAGAAAGGAGTCACGGGAGGTGCAGTTTTCAAGATCTTGAAGGCCTGAGAATGTGTTTACACACACACTCTTTCTTTTTTTTAGATTTATTTATTTAACTTTATTTATTTATTTTTTTTGGCAGAGACATACCGAGAGAGGGAATACAAGCAGGGGCAGTGGGAGAGGGAGAAGCAGGCTTCCCGTGGAGCAGGGAGCCCAATGTGGGTCTCGATCCCAGGACCCTGGGATCATGACCTGAGCCGAAGGCAGACGCTTGACGACTGAGCCACCCAGGCACCCCAAAGATTTATTTTAGAGAGCAAGTGAGGGAGAGGGAAAGAACCCCAAGCAGACTCTCTGCTGAGCATGGAGCCCGACATGGGGCTCTCATGATCTCAAGACCATGACCTGAGCCGAAATCAAGAGTCAGACGCTTAACCAACTGAGCCACCCAGGCGCCCCTGTTTTTGCTCTCTTGATTGGGTTCCAGTTTTTTTTTTTAACGATTTTTTTTTATTATTATTATTCGCTGGAGACACAGAGATAGAGTGCATGAGCAGGGGGAGAAGCAGACTCCCCGCTGAGCAGGGAGCCTGATGTGGGCCTCAATCCCAGGACCCTGGGATCATGACCTGAGCTGAAGGCAGACACTTAACCGTCTGAGCCACCCAGGCACCCCTTGGGTTCCGGTTCTATGTTAGAAGTGACTTTGCTCTAGAATTTTAAAGGCGTTGCTGTGTTGTCTTTTAACTGCCAGGGTTGCTGCTGAGAAGTCAGAAGCCACCTGACCTCTGATACTTTGTGCGTGACCGATTTCTTCCCTCTGGAGGCTTGTGGAACCTTCCTTTTGGCCCTGGGTTCTGAAGCCTGAGGGGGACCCAGGTGAGGCCTGGGGGGAGGTCATCTGTAGTGCTGGCCCGCAGTATGGCCTAGCTGCCTCAAGTCTGGTTTTCGGTGCTTGTCTTGAATAACTACTTTGTGATTTTCTACTGTGTTCTCTGTCGTCTTCTTCTGGGAGCCATCATTCTGCTGCTAGGCCTCCTGGATGGATTCTCTAATTCTTTCTCTGACTCTGCTTTCTTGTTGTTTGCTCCGTTGTTATTCTGTGGTTCTTCTCTGGGGTTTTTTTGCTTCACCACTCACGTAGTTTTAACTTGGAAGAGCTTGCTTTCTTTCTCAGAATGTTTCCTGCTGATGCTCCGTTCTTGTCTCATGGGTGCAAGACCTCTCCTCACGTGTCCTCCTGTGCCCACCGGCCCTGCCCTGTCTGTCCCGTGTGTCCTTGGAGGCTTCTCCGAGCTGCTGCTGAGCCTCGGTTATCCACTCTGAGCCTCAGTTATTGGCTCTGTTTGAGATGGGCACCAGCAGGCTTCTGGGAGCCCCAAGCCTGCGGAGCTTCCTGGGGGCACCCTTAGTTGAGGTCCCTACTCAGTGAGAACAGGCGTCACTGGCTGCATGCTGAGCGTGTCAAGAGCGTAAACTTCCACTTAATTGCTGGGTGTGTGTGTCTTGACCCACCTCTCTCCTGGAGACCTCCTGGTTTACTTCTCCAGGTGCTTGCCGGGCACATGTGGGGACACTGCTGCTCTTCGATGACGTGTCGGTTGTGGTCCCCCTACTTCTCAAGCCACCAGGCATGGCCAAAGGCCTGCAGCGCAGCGTGTATGTGCTGGCCGTGTCCCCCACGGGCGCCTGCCCGCGTCTGCCCAGCGTCGCTCCTCAGCCTCCCCGGACGGTTCTGCTCTTCTCTCGTCTTGCGCGTTACACGAGGTTTCCGCCGCCTCCGAATCCCTTTAGCTTGTCTGGAACAGGGGAGCTCCGCAGGCTGGCGTGTTCGTCCAGCAGCTCAGCCCATGGACTCTGCTGTCCTGCGGGGCTCCCCGTCTACTCCCTTCTCCACGTTCCTTCCTGAGGGAGGTGTGGGCTGGGACGCCTGCCTGCCTGTCTGCTTCCGAGGTGGGTCACATGAGCGCCTGTTAACGCACAAGTGACCTTCCCGATGGTGTTGAGCTCAGGCACAGTGCGGCCATGCCGTTGATGCCCGAGCCCACAGCCCCATCTGCACCGAGCTCTCTGGCCACTGAGCCCCTGCTTCTGCACTCACTCTGTCTGGAGTGCACAGCCTCCTCATGCCTCTGGCCTTGCTTCTGGTCCTGCAGCCCAAGAGGCCGGGCCCGTCAGCCTGTCTGGGTCCAGACCCTCTGAGCATGCCACCCACTATGTCCCAGCTGCTGCCTGGACTGGGGCCACCCGGACGGGCCAGGGCAGCGGGGTTGCCTTCTGTCCATGTGCTTGCCCTCTGCGCAGGAGCTCTTTCCTCCTGTCCTGGTCCTTGCAGGCAGCTGGCCGTGCATCCCCCACGGCTCCTCCACGTCCTGATGGTTCCCAGTGCTGTGCTTTCCCTGACCACAGTTGGGGGCCTTTGACTCCCTTCTAATACCTGAGGGAAGGCCATCGGGGGCTGATCTCTGACCTTGGCTGGGCTGTGACCTCTGGGTAGGGCTTTAACAGCTGGTTCCCCCCAGGTCCTTCCTCAGATCCCTGTGAAGAGTGGTGGTCCCCATGGGGCAGGGGTCCTCGGTGAGTGGCTGACCCCTCTCCCTGCCCCCACCCTGGGAGGCTCCTTGGGGACCTGTTGGCAGCCCCTCCCCCTCCAGAGGCCCAACTGGGGAGGGAGGTCGGGCAGGTGACAGGGGCCAGGGTGGGGGCTGCAGGGCAGGAGGCGTGCTGGAGCCATCCACTTCCCTCCTCCCAGGGGTGCACCTGGAGGGCCCATTCATCAGCCGGGAGAAGCGAGGTGCACACCCCGAAGCCCACCTGCGCTCCTTTGAGGCCAACGCCTTCCATGATGTACTGGCCACCTACGGGCCCCTGGACAACGTCCGCATCGTGACGCTGGCCCCTGAGCTGGGCCGGAGCCGAGAGGTGATACGGGCACTGGCGGCCCGTGGCATCTGTGTGTCCCTAGGTGAGGGGGGCCGCCCCCAGGGTTGGGCCCACATGGGGTTCCTGGGCTGGGTGCGTAGTTTGATTTCAGGTCCCCCATGCAGGACACTCGGTGGCCAACCTGCAGGCCGCGGAGGAAGCTGTGCAGTGTGGGGCCACCTTCATCACCCACCTCTTCAATGCCATGCTGCCTGTGAGTAACCCCCCCAAGTCCCACGGGCGGGCGCAAGGGCTCCTGCCGTCGCTCAGCTGCTCCCTCCTAACCCTGCCCAGTTCCACCACCGTGACCCAGGGATTGTGGGGCTCCTGACCAGTGACCGGCTGCCACCAGGCCGCCACATCTTCTACGGGATGATCGCTGACGGCATGCACACCAACCCTGCTGCCCTGCGCATTGCCCACCGGGCCCATCCCCAGGGTGAGTGGCGGGGCAGGATGGGGGCAGCAGGGAAGCTGCCGCGGGGTAGGTCTAAGGCCCCTTCCTCCCGCAGGGCTGGTGTTGGTCACCGACGCCGTTCCTGCCCTGGGCTTGGGCAACGGCCGTCACACACTGGGGCAGCAGGAGGTGGAAGTAGTTGGGCTGACAGCCTACGTGGCAGGTGAGCGATCCTCTCGGCCCCGCCAACTGCCCCCACGACAACAGCCCCTCGGCCTCTTGTGGGATGCAGGAATCTGGGTGTTCCCTGCCGGCCTGCTGTTCCCCCCCCAGCCCACTGCCGACCCCCCACCACGTGCCTGGTGGCCTCTGGTCCCCCAGAGCCTGCCCTCTCTGCTCTGAAGGCACCAAGACGCTGAGTGGCAGCATAGCCCCGATGGACGTGTGCGTCCGGCACTTCCTGCAGGCCACAGGTCAGTGCGGCTGGCGTGGGGGTGGGGGTGTGCACCTGTGTGTGTGCGCATGCACAGAGGGCAGCAGCCGCGTTTGGGAGAGGTGAGAGGGAAGCACAGAGAGTCTTGCACCCACATCCCTTGTCTGGCGGAGTTCCCAGGGGACGAGCACCAGGAATGTGGCCGAGATGCCCCTGCAGGGAACTCCTGGCAGACTGGGACCCAGGGCGATGGAAGTGAAGCCGTGGCACCCGCGAGGGGAATGGACTGCGCCTTACCCTCAGCAAGGGCCTTGGTCTCACACCCTGTGGGCGCACGGGACTTCATGGGTCCAGAGCTAGGGAGATGAGGTGGGGGTCAGAGCTTTGTTCCAGGCTTCTTAAGGGGCTGGGCCTGTTGTTGGTGAGGTGGGAAGGGGTGTCTGGCAGAGGCTGTGGTTGGCCAGGTCCTGTGGGATTCTTGATAGTGCCCTGGGACTGGGTGTCACCGGGGGGCCTCAGGGCTCAGCGTGCTGTTTAGAGCAGCAGTGAGACAAGCCAGGAGGTGGGAAATGACTTTGGCCTGGTAGCTGGGGGGGTGATGTGGGGAACAGAATGAATGGGGTTTAGTCGTGTGACCTCTTGAGGGGTAGCAGAGATAGAAAGGCAAGACCGGGTGGTTTTATCGATGGCCCAGGCTACTGCTTCTTTGTGGGGGTTCTCTACCGGGGACCTCAAAGGAGGAGGGGCTTGCAGGCCTTTGGATCCAGAGTGTCTGTCTGTGAGGACGGGAGGCCTGCCGGGCTGGGATGGGTGAGAGAGCAGGAAAAGGGTCCCTAGCAGTGTCCTCAGACTGGAGCTTGGGGCTGTGGGGTGGGGGAGGGGCTGCTGGCCGAGCTGGGATGGGGGATAGTTACCCAGTTATGTGCCCTGAGCAGGCTGCAGTGTGGAGTTGGCCCTGGAGGCTGCGTCCCTGCACCCCGCTCAGCTGCTGGGGCTGGAGAAGCACAAGGGCACCCTGGACTTCGGGGCCGATGCAGGTCAGGGCCTGATGTGGGCGCCCAGGCCACTGAAGACTTGGGAGCTCCCAGGGACTTGGGACAGTGCCAGGGCAGGTGTAATCTTCCCTATGCCCAGATGGCCTTGCCCACCACCAACCTCAGCCTGGGCCCTTTTCCCCATCAGGCCGGCTTTCTGGTGTATGGAATAAGGCCAGCTGAGGGGCTGCTGGGGCCTTTGTCCCTTGTGCCCTACTGCCAGGAATACTGGCTCCAGGACCTTGGCCAGCCTGCAGTGGGTTGGGGTGCCCTGTTCAAATCGTGTTGCAGGCTTCAGTTTTCCCACCAGCTCCTGGGCAGGGGTGGGGAGGGGAACAGAGCTTCTCTTAGGGGTGATGAAGCTCCTGGAAGCTGGCTGGGGGTTGGGGTGGCGGTGGGCCCACCCACCCCTGCCGCCACCTCACCACCCGCCTCTGACCCAGACTTCGTGGTGCTCGATGACTCTCTCCACGTGCGGGCCACCTACATCTCGGGCGAGTTGGTGTGGCAGGCGGAAGAGGCCAGGCAGTGACCGAGGACCACAGCCGGAAAGGATGCCCAGCCTTAGCTGGACGCGGTCAGGGCTGAGCCGTGGAGGAGCTGGTCTCCAGGGAGCGAGTGGGCGCCCTGCCCCAGGTGGAGGCCTCCGCTCAGGAGGCAGCTGGATAAACACGCGCCCAGCAGGGACTTGTCTGGTCTCCGAGTGTTGCTTCAAAGCAGGGCGCCGTCACCTTGGTGGCTGGGTGGTGGTGGTGGGGGGGGGTTGAGAGTGGGAGTGGCTGGATTCTGGCTCATCCCAGCTCTGTGGAGGCCCCTGTCTGAGGCCTGCAGACCCACAGGCAGAGGTGCTGGTTGGAAATGATTAGAGGGTGGGTGGGGAAGTCCTGGGCTGTAGGTTGGGAAGTGGACAGGTAGGGGCATGGGGACAGTGCAGTTAGCTTCAGAAGTTCACATGTCAGGGGACTGAGGGGAAAGGGTACTTCTTGCGGTTTTAAACAAGGAGAGAATTGGCTGTGCAGGCAAGTTAGGAGCTGAGGCTGGAGGAGCTGGGTGTAGGAGGGGCCTCAGGTGGGCAGCGTGGAGGGTTCAGAGGGCTACTGCATGAGGATGTCCCAGGGGTCACTCTCTGCACCCTTGAGTTGGGCGGGCAAAGGGGGGGGCCAGGGCCATAGTGCCGGGCCTGGGCACAGTGCCAGGTGCTCCTCCCCAGCCTTCAGGGGGCATCCACGCCAGCCTCAGGACCCCAGCTCGCCTGGCTATGGGTGCAGGAAGCAGTGGCCAAGGGCCCCTGAGCTGACCCTGGCCACTGCTCCTTGCCCAGCCCGCAGCCCTACTTCTTTGAGCCCTTGGGATAATCAAGGCTCCGCTTCCTGGCGTGTTTTTTCTGAACAACCCCTTCTTCTGACCCTACTCCCAGGTGGGCACGATGATCCCCCTTGTACCCTGGTGTTTGCACAGCTGGGCGTGACCCTGCCTGGTGCTCGTGAGCAGCTTGGGGGTCACCAGTGTCCTGAGCCCTGCAACTATTTGCCCGTTAGTGTCATCGTGCAGCCTTCCATGTCCCCTCGGTCCTGGGAGCGTGGGCTGTTGTGTTCTCTGGGAAGGATAGCTAATGGGGCAGGTGGGCTCTGGGGAGCCGTGCAGGTCCTGAGGACAGCCGTGACATGGGAGTCGGATGGCAGGGGTTGGTGTAGCTCCAGATCTGGGGTTGACTTTCTCCCCCATCGTGTCCTGGGGTGGGCAGCACCTCCCCCCTTTCTCATGGCTGTAGTCCTTGGAATAGGAGGTTGAAGGCGAGTGTCCCAGGACGCCGTGGTGTGTGGCTTGGCCACCATTCCCCTTGCCTCTGCCACAGAGCACACTACAGGAAGCGTCTCCAGGCCCAAAGTGACAAAAACGGCCACGGGTCCTGGCTGTGTTTGAGGGTGAGCAGCCTGGGGAGAACCAGCACTGTAAGGCAAGGCTCAGGAAAGGCCACCTGCAGGGGTACCAGGGGCCTGGGTCTCAGGCCACATGCCCGTGGGGTGCAGGGACTTCTAGGCCCAGCAGGTGACAAAGCAGCTCCTGGAAGACAGCCACCTGCTCCACCCTGGTTGGAGGGAGCAGATGAATGTCTCCAAAACACATTCAAAGCTGAGTGGTGGGCACTTGCCTTGTTTGGTGCTAGGTCTTACTCTAAGTGCACTACCAACGTGAGCCCATTCTTTTCTGCCAAAAATCTAGAGTTTTCCAGTTTGTCATCCCCGTTCTCAGATGGGGAAGCGGGCACCTGATTCCGGAGCTGGTGAGCACCAGAGCTACAGTTTGTCCTGGCCACCCTACCAGGGGCCCTCCCTTAAACTTGTCACCACGCTGCCTCTCTGGGTGGAGAATCTGGGAAGTGCTAGTTGAACTCGGGATCAGCAGGGGTGAGGCACCCGTGCCGGTTGGGAAAAGCACTCCAGGAACGGGGAAACTACTCCACGAAGATCCAGCGGCACCCTCGCTGGAAAGGGGTGCAGCCATCACCGCTGTCATCCGCAGAATTTCACCACCCCAGGAGAAGCTCTGGTCCCTCTAGGTGCTGGCCCTGTCCCCCATCCTCTCCAGCCTGGCACGGAGCACTCCACTTCTTCATTCTGAGGCTGCAGGGATTTAAACAAGATGTGCTGCCATTTTAAGTTAGACCCCCAGCAAGGAGACTGAGGGGCCGGCTGTAGGGTGGCAGTGGGGCTGGAGACAGGTAAGGCGGGGCGGGGGGGCGGGAGACAGGCATGCTCTAGTGTTGGTGTAGACTAGGCTGCTGTGGGTGTACCTGAGTCACTGGTGGGTGGGGGTGACTTTTTCACTGAGGTGGGGAAGCTGGGGTGGGATCCTCGGGGAGGTGACCTGGCGTGCAACCCGCACCTTCGTGGCTTGCTCTGTGTTGTACGTGAGTGGGAGGACCAGGGGGCCCGATGGTGCTAGGACCCTGTGCCGGGGCTGGCGCGTCGTGACTCCGCGGAGTGGGACGAGGGCCCCTTGGCGGCCGTGCCTGGGAGCTGCGGAGGCGTCCACTTGAGGGCCCCAGACTGCGCCGAGTGCACGCGGGTTCGAATCCAGGCGCTGAGGCGTACCTTCCGAAGCCTCGGTCTCCTGGTCGGGTTGACGGGCCCCGGAGAATCTGGGTGGTCCAGACCGGAGAAACCGGCTTGGGGGTGGGGGGGAGACGGTATCAACTGCGGTGCACGGTGACTCCGGCTCGAGCCTGTCCGCCGCGGGCCCGGCCTGCGGCCCAGGCGCCGGGTCCACGCGGACCCAGAGGTCGGGTAAGAGCTGCGGCGCGCGGGTCTACGGCTTGCTGCTGGAGGGGTTCCTCCCTGGGGGACGGGTTCTGCGGAGTCAGGGTGGGCGGGCCCGTGCCGGGGCCAATCAGGATTGCCGTGCGCAGCGACGCGCAGCGGCCGAGCAGCTCGGGGGCGCGTCCGCCTCTCACCCTGTCCCGGATTAAGGGACCGATCAGGAGCCGAGAGTCACGGACGGCGGGGCCCGGCGGGTGCAGGGGAACCGGGGACCTAGTGCCCCCCGCACGCTGCGGACCCCACTGCGCCCCGGTCCGCCCGCCTCCCTCTCTGCGCGCCTTCCCGCCCCACCGCTCCCCTCCCTCCCCATCGCCGCCCTGTGCATCCCCTGCGCCCCAAGCCTCCTCTCCCCGCCCCGCCCTTGTTGGCGTTGGGGAGTAGGGTGTGGGCTCCCCGCCGGCCCCCTTCCACTGCCTCTCCCAGCCTCGCCCCAGCTCGGAGCGTGTCCGGGGTCGGGAGTGCGGGAGAGGGTGGATACAGCAGGGGGTGTGGCACTGGGAGGGTGGGCAAAGGGCGGCTCCGCTTGGCCCCTATGGTTTACCCCCTTCGCCCCCTGTCGTCCCCATGCAGCCCCGTCCCTGGAGCGATGGCCCTGAGTCTTGTTTGCCTCCCACTGCCGCACCATTGAGAGCTTGGTGTGCTGCTTCTAACGTGATCCAACATACCTTGCCCTACGTTTATGTTTTGGTTTGTTTCATAAACTGGAATTGTACTTTTGATACTGCTCTGCTAGTAACTATTTTTTAGTTAAGCGGCCTGAAACGGAAAGCTGCCTGGGTGGGGACACGTGGAAATGTCTCTGTACTTGAACAAGGTCCCTAGTGTTCTTCTCTAAGATGGATGTTTCATAACGTTAACCAGATCCCAGCGTGGACCAGTCGGGTTTCTCCCCCGCCCCGCCCCCCACCCCAGCGGCCCCGAGGAGGAGGGACCATGCAGTGATGGGCAGGGAGCTTTGGGGCCCCAGATGCCCAAGCGTGTCTAGGAGGCCGGAGGGGACCCGGTGTGGGCGCTCCTTTACGCCCTTTGGGTTCCGGGTTTTCGTGTATTCGTTTTCTCGTGTTCCTGTAACAAATTACCACAAATTAAGGGTTCAAAAGAACACACATTTATTTTATAGCTCTGGAGGTGGGAGTCAGAAATAGGTCTCAGTGCGCTGAAATCAAAGTGGTGGCAGAGCCTTGTTCTCCCTAGAGGTTGGGGGGGGGGGTTCTTCCGTTCCCAGCTTCCAGATGCTGCCCACACTGGTTGTTTCGTGGTCTCTTGCATTTGCCCAAGCCAGTGCTGGCCCGTCGTGCTGTTCATGTTGCCTCATTCAGGCTCTGACTTTCTTTCTCTTCTATCTTTTAAGGACCCTTGTGATTACACTGGGCTGAGCTGGATAATCCCGGATAATCTGCCTCTTTCAAGGTCAGCTTATTGACAACCATCATCTTCTCTTTCTGTGTGATGTAACATATTCACAGGTTGGGTGAACAGGACATGGTCATTTCTGGTGGGGCTGTTATTCTGCCTGCTTCCTCATCCAGAGAGAGGGGCCTGGGCCACAGCTCCCTACTGCCTGGGTCTAAAGGAGATACTACATCCCTATCATCAGGGTACGAAGGTGCTCCTTTCCCTACATGCTTATCAACACTGGATGTTTTCGGTCTTTGGGATTTTGACCAATTTTTTGGAATCTGCCCATTTTACAGCTGGGGACGTTGAGACTTAGGGAGGGAAGGTTACTCGCCTGAGGTTGGTTTGTTTGTTTGTTTGTTTTTATTCATGAGAGAGAAAGAGAAAGGTAGAGGCAGAGGGAGAAGCAGGCTCCCCGCGGAGCAGGGAGCCCAATGCGGGCCCGATCCCAAGACCTCGGGATCATGACCTGAGCCAAAGGCAGATGCTTAACCGACTGAGCCACCTAGGCGCCCCTCACCTGAGATTTGATGCAACTTTCTGTTTCCTGTCTCCCAGTTTAGTTAAAATATTTTTTTCCATGTAGCACAATTTATATGAGAAGATATTTCCCCAGGTGGCTTGGAAATTATTGGCTTTGTCAACTTTCTCTCTCTCTCTTTTTTTTTAAGATTTACGTATTGGGGCGCCTGGGTGGCTCAGTAGGTTAAGCGTCTGCCTTCAGCTCAGATCATGATCCCAGGGTCCTGGGATTGAGTCCCATGTCGGGCTCCCTGCTCAGCGGGGAGTCTGCTTCTCCCTCTGACCCTCACCCCCTCTCATGCTCTCTCTCTAGCTCGCTCTCTCTCTCAAATAAATAACTAAAATCTTAAAAAAAATGTTAAAAAAAAAAGTTGGATGCATAGCCCCCCGGAGCCGCCAGGGTGCCCCTCCCCACCGCAAGTCAAGCCTTTAGATGGCTTAGCTTTCCCTACCCTCTTGACTGCGAATTCCTGAGAGACCCTGAGTCGGAACCACTAGGCCAAGCTGCTCCTGGGTTCCTGACCCACAGAAACCATGAGATCGTAAATGTTTGTTGCTTGAGGTCTCTTGAGTTGGGGGGTAATTTGTTACACGGGACTGTGTGGCTAACACATTAGCTATGTGATGCTGGGCAAGTTCCATTGCCTGTGAAGCTGGGGTCCCTCCCTTGGGCCACTGCACTTAGAACAGTAAGTGAGGCACAGGTGAAATGCCACAGGCCATGTGGAGCACAGGGCTGACCGCCCCCCACAAGCTGTGTATATACATAGGGCAGCCTTTCAGCCTCTCCCAGGGTGGTTATGGGCATCCTCCTGTTCCTCCTCGGGTGGAACATGACCTCACAATGTCAAGCAAAGCATCGCATTCTTGGCCAGTGACAGAAGCACTGGGCAGGGAAAGGAGAGATAAGAGCCAGGGGCTGTCCCTCTTCTTCCTCCAGCCAGAGTGCCCGTGAACTGTGTGGGCCAGGTGAGTCCATGTCCCCTCCTGCCCGCTGTCCCGGGATCCGCAGCCAGACCTGACCCATGGCAGGGGTGCCCTGCCTCTCGCTAGGTGAGAGGGGTGGCCTGGCCTGGCTTTTGGCTTGCACAATGGCTGCCATCGAGGCCCCATGAGAACTGAGTACTGTTCTCGTTCCTCTTTCTGAGGTTGCTCCCTGCCCTGCCCCCACTGCCTGCTCAGCGGCTTTCCGCAGGCCTCCAGCCTGCCCCTCTCCCCTCACACCTTCCCCTGAGGCCACAGAGGATGCCTGCCCCACCTGCTGCTGGGGGGGGGTGCCTCTAGTATTCCCTGCAGACTTTGTTCCTCTCAGTTTTTACCCCTCCCTGTTGGTCTTTGAATTCCCGAAGAACTACGCGGTCTTGCTTCGGTGTGAGGGACTCGGGGGGGGGGGGGGGGGAGGGAGCTGAAGACCTCAGTTCAGTTCGTATTGTGACTTGCCTCTTTACCTTCACTCTCTCCGTTAGACCTTTACCCTCTGCTTTCCAGTAGCTGCATCGAATTCTCCAGAATGGACGTACCATAATTTATTTTACCATTCTCTTGTTCATAAGTATTTTGGTTCTTTTTCTCTTGTTATTTGCTTCAGGTTAAAGTCACGCCGTCACGAACATTCTTGCAGTTTTACCTTCGTGAGTGAGAGCTTCTTAGAATCTCTGGGAGGAAGTTACACCCACTTTATTAATTTTTATTTGCATCAATGTTTAAGAAGTCAGATAGTTGTAAAAAGGCTTGTAGGGGCACCTGGGTGGCTCAGTCGTTAAGCGTCTGCCTTCGGCTCAGGTCATGATCTCAGGGTCCTGGGATCGAGCCCCCAGCCCCGCATCGGGCTCCTGGCTCAGCGGGGAGTCTGCTTCTCCCTCTCCCTCTGCTTGTGTGCACTCCCTCCCTCTCCCTCTCTCTCTCTCTCTCATATAAATAAATAAAAATAAAGAATAAAATATAAATAAAAAGGCTTGTAACGCAGAACAGCAGCCGGTGCCTCACCTCTCCCCCCTCCTCCCATCCCACTTACTACCGGTTTAAACGTTCTTTCTGCTGTGTATGTCTATCTTTCTAACGAATATTCTCCCACTTTATGTCTGGACTCCTCACTTACAGCCATTACCTAGTGCTTGTCTGTTAGAAGAGGTGAGGACTCAGCTGTCTCACACCCCCTCTCCTCCTTGCGAGGTAGAGGAGAATGAGTACTGGTTGAATCCGTGCATCTGTATTGTGACTGTAAATACCCCTCACGGCTGAGAAGAGTGAGGCGCCTAGCGAACGGTGACTTTGCTTCCTTCCTGATAGGGCTCTACCTCTGGAGTTTTCTTGCCTCTCTGTCAGCTTCTTAATTCAGTTTTTTTATGTGGCGAAAGCCATGAGAGGATCTATCATCTTCAGCTTCTTTCTGGAGCCCTCCAAAGCCTGCTTCCCTTGGGTCTGTGTGCTCCCTGTTCTTATCCTGGGATTTCTCCTCATTATCCATTTAAAATTGCACCTTTCCCCCAGGCACTCCTGAGGCCCCGCTGATTTTTTCTTCCCTGTAGCACTAACAGCCTTCTAACATCAGGGAAGATTTGCTTATTCATTTGTCTCCCCCACCCTGCCTCCCGCCTGTGGCATTTCACGAGGGCAGAGATTTTTGTGTTTTGCTCACCAGGGAATTGTCAACGTCTAGCACGGTGCCTGGTATGGAGTGGAGACTGAATCCATACTTGGTAAGTGGACAAATCCTGGGACTTGCCTTCCTCACCTTCCTGTGTGTTTTGTTCCTTCCCGTTTCCTGAATCTCATGTCTTCTTCTTTCTTGGTTTCCTCCATCATTTGGTGGAGCACATCCTTTAGTAACTTTGTAAGAAAGGTCACTCTTCATGTTTGTGTGTACATATCTTTTTTTAGACTCTAGATCTATGTATTTATATGCAACTGCATTTAGTGTATGGTCTGGCAAATTTCACACGTAAGATGATAATACTAAGTATCTCCTAGGGTTGTGATGAGAAGTAAGATAAATCTTTTAAAAAATGGTTAGCGTTCTCTGAGGACAAGTTGTCATTACTTTGTAAAGGCTACAGTAAACACAAAAGAAGGGTTTGTTGGGAGGCAGTTGGGTGCAGTGCCAAGAGCAGAGCCTTGCTGTTGGTCAGGGGTGGTTTTGAGTTCTGTGCTCTGTGACCTACTATATGATTGAGAGTAGGCAGGGCACCAAAGCCTCAGGTCTCTCATGTGAAAGAGGGAGATGGTCATAGTTAACCTCCTGCTTGCAGGGCTGTTAAAATCAGATGTGCTTTTAATATGTACTAAGGGTTATGACGTAGGATAACGTTCTCAGTGTTACTGAGTGTTGAATGTGGCTTGGCATGGTGGTAAGAGCTGGTATCTACCTTGACCTTGTCTTTGTGTTCACTGAGGGTTAGTGTCCGGAGTGGGGTAACCAGTTGGCAATTTTCACCCTGTATCAAAAGTCCCGAGAGGGATCCCTGTACTTTGGCCCAGCAGTTCCATCTGCTGAGAATTTATCCTAAGGAAATAAATAAAGGTGTGCCTGAATTTGAGTGCAGGGCCTTGTTAATGAGGAAGAAGTCCGGAACCAGTTCAGTGTCAGGAGGGAGCTCGATCAAGTACGTGGATCTATAAGCTATAGGCTGCCTCCAGTGGAGTCCTCCGCAGCCCTCACCACGGGGGAGGATGGCGGTCAGATGTCAGCAGAACTATACGGGATACTGGATGATGCATTGCTAAGTGAAAAAAGTATCCAAACCGCAGAAGCCCTCTTGGGGAATAGGAGTTATATTTACCGTTTCGACTGTTGTTTAAGGTGCATCCATGTACAGAACACTGGAAGCTTGGACAAACAGAGGCTGTAGAGCCTAATGGTCAAAGCATAGCCTCTGGCATATGGGTATCAAGATCCTGGTTCTGGCACCGTGAGACCCAGGGCAAGTTATAGAACTGCACTGTGCCTCAGCTTCCTCACCCTTTCAAAAACAGGGGCCACACTAGCAGGGATGCTTACTTAGACATCAGGCATGAAAATTCTTTATTTTTTAAAAAAGATTTTATTTATTTGAGAGCACAAGCAGGGGGAGCAGCAGAGTGGGAGAGAGAGAAGCATCCTCCCCTCTGAGCATCAGGGAGCTGGGACCCTGGGATCATGACCTGAGCTGAAGGCAGACGCTTAACTGACTGAGCCACCCAGGTACCCATAGGCATGAAAATTCTTTAGTAAGAATAAGTGCTAAACCAAAAAAAAAAAAGAAAAAGGAATAAGAGCTGGGTCAATGTTAGTAGCTATCCCTGCTGTTCAAGAATTCTAGTTAGTGGGCTTATGGATTCGTTTATCTAATTATCCTCTGTATTGTCTAAACTGTTATTTTTCAAAATAAATACGTATTTCTTTTGGAAATAGAAAAAAAAGGTTATTTAAAAGTATGCAACCTTGAGGTAACAAAGATGATTGTGATTTTGTTTAAAACAGCATGGTCATAACACAACAGTGTGAATGCATTTAATGCCACTCAGCTGTGCACATGGCAGATGATAGAATGGTTAAGGTAGTAAATTTTATGTCTACTTTACCACAAACACAAAAACCAACAATAACACCATCATCATTAACAGCTACAAGAAAATTCAACATTTCATCAACAGTAACGAGTACAAAAAAATCCACAAAACCATAAGCAAAGAAAAAAGTTCTGCAAGTGTCCCTGCGACTATCAGCAGTGATGCCATGGGATTGTTTTCTGCCTTATAAATTGGATTTTATAGCCCAAATTTCCGTCCGTGAACACTGGTCAGTTTCCTAAGCAGCGAAGTTGCGTCTGTCGTTTGCGCAGAGCCCAGCTCCCGATCCCAACCACGCGTGGGAGCCCAGCCCCGCCGCTGCCTCGGGCGTGACCTTGGCCAGCTCGGCGCCCCTGCGAGCCTCAGTTTCCCCCGTGGGCCCCAGGGATGACAGATTTCCCCCCCCAGCCCCCCCGCATCTCCCGCCCGGTCCCGCCCTGCGGCCCCGAGATTGGCTCGCGCGGGCCGCCCCACCTCTGAGGCGGGGCCGGGCCGCTCCCGCCCGCCGGGCCCCAACCCGGAAATGCGGCTCGGGGGCGCCGGCGAGGCCGGCCGAGCCGCGGCGGAGGGACGGCGGGCGCGGCCA